ATATATCTATATAATATATGTTTACTTGGTCAATTATCTTTAAGGCAACCTTTACTGAGAGGATAATGTAGACTGCCATTGCTCACCTCCTGCTTGTCATGTCAATCCAGTGACTTCAATAGTGAGTCACTGACCTAGAATAAGTATATAGATCAGGAGCTCCAACTTCACTTCAAGCATCTAGCACTTTCAAAAGAAAAGGTCAGGACTGGCAGCTCCATATTTCTCTCAAAACTGTTTTATGTTAAGTGTACCTAAACCCAAGAAGAAAAATGTCATATATTGCAGCTTACCAGTCCTTAGATGTGATGGCTGCATTATTTTCTTTTTTTTCAGGCATTTTTTTTCTCTCCCACTGATGAGCCTGGCAGTAACACACTTTCTGTCAAAAGGGGACAACGCTCACTCACTTACTGTATATATTTAGGTGCAACATTATCTCCCTAGGTCAGGAAGTGTGTTAGGACTATAAAATATATCCTCTCCCCTTTCTCATCTCCTGAACATTGGGGGAGGTGTTCTATAGTTTAGAGAGAACTCAACATGGCTGATAACATTGTTTGAAATTTCAGTGCAGCATTGTCAGCTCACTACAGGAAGTTAAAGTGACATTAAACCCTCAGATTTTTTAACATAAAACAATACTGTAATGTGTGCCTTACTGTAATCCATGGTTGATTCCCTTCTCTTTGATGCTCTTCCTTTTAAATCTGTATCTTTTCTCATGCTTGGAGAGAACTTCCCTTTTCAGCTCAGGGCCTCTTCCTGTAGTGCTGGCTCAGGTTACAGCCTATAGAAACGTATACACAGACACCGTTTGAGACAAGGCAGTCTGCTGAAAAGGGAAGTTCTCTCCAAGCATGAGAACAGATACAGATTTAAAAGGAAGAGCATCAAAGAGAAGGCAAACAACCATGGATTACAGTAAGGCGCACATTACAGTATTGTTTTATTTAAAAAAATCTGAGGGTTTAATGTCACTTTAAGAACTTACTGGATTTTAGAATGGATCAACAGGTGTTTTTACCAAACAGACTTTCAATGGTATATTTAAAAGACCAAAAGGGAGCAGACATGTTTATTGCTTGGGTTTATATACACTTAAAAGATGCAAAAATATGTTTGTCCTATGGTAAATGGCCATAAACGTCCACTACAGATCATATATTTGGTGTTGTTCATATATAAATAACCTATTTTTCCAGACATCTATCTAATGTCTGTGGGTAGCCTTACTTTAACCAGAGATTTTCAGAAAAGTCAGCTCTTTTCTGGATACAAGCTAGGTGGATGAGCTTGGGATGGAGGGCAGAATACAGCATTGGTCAATGAGATCAGAACTGCTATCTCTTCCCAGTCCGCCGTGTCTCTTTGCCATTACTGATGGAGTTTGGTGCTCCAGGGAGCGAGTGGTTAGGCTGGCTACGTGTAATCCGTCCACTTGATGGATGAGCAGTTGCTGGGGATGGATGTACAGCACTGGTTTGGTTGTTGGTTCCATTACCATTAGGCAAATCAGAAGCTGAAAAAAAGCAAAGAAACATTCTAAGTTTTCTGGCAATATCTTTCCATATATTAAAATAAATCTGTGCTTTGCCCATGAAGGGAAAAGAAACAGGTGCACTTTAGTGGTAGCTCAGACAGCTGCATGTATCTTTCCTTTGCTCTCCACCCCTACATTTACCCATGGGAGTGAAGAGAAGTCCAGTGTAAGCTGTAAGTCGTGACTCAGAGCTTTTACAAATCTAAGGATTCTCTTCCCACCTACTGGAGAAAGTCATGTGGAAGGAAGAAAAACAAGTCATATATTCCACCATACCCAAAAGTACAGGGTATGCAACTTCACTTACATGGGCAAATGGAATGGCAGGGAAGCAAGGAAAAGGAAGGTATAAGCTGCTTTAGGGGTTTGCCATTAAAGTGAACCTTTTGCTACTTTTAAACGCAAAGCACAGGTCCACGTTAAAGGAGAACTATGAGGCGAGTGCTTTTCACTCACCTCATAGTTCTAGCCGACCTGTGACAATGAGCCTGTCACAGGTCGGCTCAGTAGATCGGGAGGTGAGCGTACACATACCGGCGTTCGCTCACCTCTCGATCCTGTCACGGCTCTCTGCTGTGACAGGGGAGGGGCTGGATTCCCCCCTCCCCGCTCCGATCCGCCAGCGCTGACTGGCGGAACGGACGGGGGAGGGGGCAGGTACAGCTTGCTCTGCCTTTAGATAAGCAGAGCCAGCTGTCAGTCACGCAGCTGGGCGGATCCCGGCACAATTGTCGGGATGCGCTTCAGCTGCGGCGTCTCAGTATACCGAGAGCCGCAGCTCGCGGTATACTGCGGCGTCTCAGTATACCGCGAGCTACAGCTCGCGGTATACTGAGGCTAGGGTTACCCTAAGGAGAACTATGGGAAAAAGGCTTAACCCCATAGTTCTCCTTTAAGCTGTTACTGATGTATGCAGTTCTTCACTACTTCACTTATACAGTACATAAGCATACACAACATGTAAAGTAGTCATTCAGTTGGGTTATATATAAATGTATAATTACTGAAGGAGTGCACTTAAGGAGTAATTTTCATTATTACCTGCAGGAGCCGCACTGCTGGAGGAGCTGTGATTGGTTGTTCCTGGTAGACTGTCTGCTTGTGCCTGAAATCACAAAGTCCAGTGTAACTTATATGTCCACAGAAGGTTATCATGACTAAAAGCCAAGAAAACTTGCATCCCCTGAAGGCTTTATTAACTTGTAAAAGTGTTGAAAAGGGAATTCAAAATTATCCCAAGATCTGCTATCATTTCGATATTAAAACCTTGTGAATCCGTATTAAGAGCAAATAATTCTTGGCGTGATGAATATTAGTTCCATTTTGAAGAAATATCATAGACTGAAAGTTTAGATAATATTACATCAAAGGATTACTGCAGTTTTGCGACTGTACTGGAAAAAAGTACTTTAATGGAAAAAATTCTGTAAATTTTTTTTATGGCTTTACATATAATAATTTTTTTTAAAAATGAATCTACATACATCCATACATACACAAATACATATACACACACACAAAATAAGTAAAAAAAGAGCTCCACTAGCTAGCTCTCTGTGAAAATATAAATATTAATTTGCAATATTCCCTTTAAGGTGCTCCTTCAATGTTGCCTCCATAGCAAACCTGATATGGGACTATTGTAAGATTTACCTAGGCTAGCTGATATTATAATGCTACCAGTGAGGGCGTGTACACTGTTGTTATTGGTGGTTACTTCCATGTATTGGCCAAGTGAAATTGTTGTTGAGCTTTCGGTAAACTAAACTCAGGAGTTGAACCCTGAAAACACATTCAATGCTCTGCTGATGTAACCTTCCCAGAATGCAGTGCTTGGGCACGATTACATAATTTGAGCCAAAGTGGACCAGGAAGTGGAAAAAAAGAAATTGTAAGTAAAATAAAAATATGTTTGTTTAGCTAATAAATGTAAGATGATTTTATATCAGCATGCAGAGGTAAATGCTAATGTGATTTTTAGTCAAAGGGGGTAAAGGTCCACTTTAAGGTACTTGAATGCATTTGTAAAATTTACTCCTGAGTTTAGTGTCACTTTAATCTAACACAACATGAAAAACCTCCAGTGTTAATGTCTCCCATGCTAACCACTTATTTCTGTGCTTTTAAGGAGAACTATGAGGCGAGTGAAAATCACTCTTCATAGTTTGAGCCGACGTGTGACAATGAAACTGTCAAACGTCAGCTCAATAGATCGGGAAGTGACCGAACACATACCGTTACCCGCTCACTTCTTGATCATCTCCCTGCAGAGAGCAGTGACTGTCACTCAAGGCTCCCTGCAGGGATTCTGCCCCTCTCCTCTCCAATCCACCAGCGCTGAGTGAAGGAATGGACGGGGAGGGGGAGGGCACAGCTGGCTCTAGATAGGCAGGGCCAGCTGTCATTCACGCAGCTGGGTGGATCTCGACAGCATTGTCAGGGTCCGTCCCGGCTGCGGTGGTCTCAGTATACTGCGAGCATTAGCTTGCGATATACTGAGCTTTGGTCAAGCAAAACAAACGACAAACGCACTCAACAATTTGTCACCAGTTATTCAGTAAGGTGCACACGAAATGGGCTTTGAACAGTAAAACAGTAGAAAGGCATCATGGCACACTCACAAACCAGCATGTAAAACAACTTGTCTCACCACCAAGGATAATAACTCTAAACTATGAGAGTCTCCATCTTGGAGCACATGGGGGCAGAAGATTTTAAATTGGGTGCAGGTTTGTCAGGAGGAAGCCCAGCCTCCTTAAAAGCACAGAAACACACAACAAACGCACTCAACAATTTGTCACCAGTTATACATCATGGCACACTCACAAACCAGCATGTAAAACAACTTGTCTCACCACTAAGGACAAATTGTTGAGTGCGTTTGTCGTTTGTTTTGCTTGACCGATTTGGTGCAGCGACGCATGGGGTTTCTCAGCTGCCATTGGGATGTGCGGGATCCCTTGTGTGTTTCTGTGCTTTTAAGGAGGCTGGGCTTCCTACTGACAAACCTGCACCCAATTTGAAATCTTCTGCCCCCATGTGCTCCAAGATGGAGACTCTCATAGTTTAGAGTTAGGACCGCACTATAAGAGGTGCCTTGGCGCGGCAGTGCGGCTTTCACATCCTCTGCAGAAGACGTGTATCCAAACCTCTGTCATTGTCCTTAGTGGTGAGACAAGTTGTTTTACATGCTGGTTTGTGAGTGTGCCATGATGCCTTTCTACTGTTATACTGAGCTTTGGGTCACGGGAGGATGCTAATATATGTCCTCCGTGACCCTTAAGAGAACTATGGGGAAAAACACTTACCCCATAGTTCTCTTTTAAGTTTCAAGTTATTGATTCCTTGCAAACAACACACTGTAGAAATCTAGAAGTATTTTGTTTACAAATAACACTCTTCAGCTTATTGATATCCTTTGTTGTATAATTACCACACACACACACACAACCTGACTCCCCAGTGGATCCTCTATGGCAAAACTCATCTACATGGCATACACTGGAGGAGCGTGTGGTGGTGTAAATATCACTAACCATCTTTACCATAACTGTATATCTGAGCACTTCAGTGGCTCTTCATCCTGCACTTCCTCTGCCATTTGCAAAATCTTCTCCACTCAAAACTGACTTAGAGCCAGGTGGCCAGTGCACCTAGGGCAGTTAATACAGTGGCAAATGTATAACAGAGAAAAATATGTAGTAAGATTGTGCCGTCCATGATTGTCATGGGAAACAAGTGGAATAAAGGTGCTGGAACTGCAAGGCGTACCCTATCGGTGTGCTGGCTAATTAGGATGTAAAAGAGTCTGTATAGGTGATCTGACTACAGGTCAAACAGCTTCCTAATTCCAGAGCATCTTCACTGTCTTGAAAAAACAGTATTCAGTATCAGAATTGTGAATTGAACAACAGTATCCAAATTCAAGCCATCATAGTCCTGATACATGTTTTCCTTTGCCCTGATGGAGGGGGTATTCTTTGGGCTCCCAAAACAGGTTGGCTATTTCTGTCCCCTTAGATCTACATTCAATAAAGATATATCTGGACTGTTAAATGGAGTGTGGCGCTTCGATGCACAATGCTGCAATTTTGGATTGTCATGTTATCAGGACAAATAACATTCTTCTCTTTGTCTCATCTGACAGTTTAATGCAGCACATATGGGGTTAGATACAGATTCCCTTTTCTCTAGAGGAAAGGGAGAAGTTGATTTCTGATTTAACAGAGATTTTCGTACAACTTAGAAAATGTTCACAATAACAAATGCTTCTGACTGTCAGAAGTATTAATCGTCTCTCCAGTGGGGACCCTTACATGGTCTGATCTTTGCTCAATTGCCACAATAACACAGGGTTTCATCATTGCAGAGACTGGGCCTCACCACAGAACTGAACACACATGTATTTAACTATTGCTAAAAGAAGAGACATTTACCTGTTTGTTTTGTGATTGCTGTGCCACATACTCAGGGTTTGGTTCACTAAAATTAGGCGCTTCAGCATATACCATGCAAAATCTGCAAAAAAAAATAGCCAATGAACACTTGTCAATTTCAGTTCTTTAAATCTTGGAGGATCAGCATATGGGCATTACCGAGGGTGGTTTGCATGCAAATGAAGCCTGCCTAGGAATACCCACTCCTCCAGACTGACATCCATACTTAAAAGGCATTTTTATATTTGCATAACTCCCCCCACAGGGCAGACCACTGCTTGCATCAGGGATGATGGCTCCCGAGAGCATTACTGAGGCAGGGAGCTGTGATGTTTTCAGGAAGCTATAAACAGCATCACCCCCACCCAATACACACACTATCACCTGCCATGATCTGCCGACATTGCATAAAGAAGCACAGAAACCCAGTGACGATGTCTGAAATAAGGTATGAACTGAAAATAGAAAGGTTTTATTTAAAAATATAATTAGCATGTTGATGAGGAAGGAAAGGAAGAACCAGGGAAAGCAAAAAATGGGCACATTAACTTTAATATAAATTCATGTTCCACCGCTGGTCAATGTTTTGGAGTTGCTAGCAAAAGTGCATCTGAAATTCCAATGTGATTTAGTCATGGATGCAAAAAACGTATGGCATCTTATGGATTGTAGTGCAAGTAGCCTATGGGACCCATTAGTTGCTAGACTACGTCCTTTCCCCTGTGTCCCTGAATATCTGTAAGAGAAATTATCATGTATATGCACTGTTTTAAACTAGACATTCTTACAGTTCTACTATAAGCTGATGGTCGACCATCAGCTTATAGTAGAACTGTAAATGCCAGGTCCGTACGGCATACTGAGCTGGCCAGCTGGAAGCACAAGGGTTAAAAGAGAACTATGGGGTAAATGTTTTTTCCGCATAGTTCTCTTTAGGGTCATGGAAGGACATATACTAGCGTCCTCCCGTGACCCAAAGCTCAGTATATCTCGGGCAATAGCAATATACAGAGAGTGCCCCAGCCGGGATGGATCCTGACAATACTGTCTGGATCCACCCAGCTGCGTGAGTGACAGCTGGCTCTGCCTATCTAGAGGCAGAGCCAGCTGTGCATGCACCCTCCCCTGTCCGTTCCTCCACTCATCGCTGGAGGATCGGAGAGGGGTATCCCTGCAGGGAGCCGTGACTAACAGTCACCACTCTCTGCAGACAGATGATCGGAAAAAGAGCGAGCGATGGTATGTGTTCGCTCACTTTCCGATGAATAGAGCCGACCCGTGACAACTTCTTTGTCACAGGTCGGCTCTAACTATGAGGATGAGTGGAAATCACTCACCTCATAGTTCTCCTTTAAGGCCCTGACAGGTGCATTGGTTAGCAGTAATGAAGTACCAATAGAAGCTTTGTGAACTGTATGGTGAAAACACAAGGTTAAGTCAAGTATTAAAGCCTTACTCTCCAATCTTCTGCAAGTCGCCTCCCCTTCCTGTGTAAAGAGTCAGGCATCCTTTGAAGACAGAAGCATAGCTGCAAATAGACAAAAAAAGATAAGAGAGAGAAAACAAAAAGATTAAAGACCAAATCCTGACAGTTTTTCTTTGTTTTGGATATATCAATATAGGGTTCGAACCTCAGTCAGGTTTTAATAACTGTCTTAGTCCCAGTTAATGAGACTGCTCCTCACCTCCTGTCAATTTGACAGATGTCACACTGAACAGAAGTGAGGAAAAGTCTCCCCAAACTGGACACAAACAACAGTAAAAACCTGATATACATTGTAACTCTATCCAAAACGATAAAATATATTTTGCCCAGGGTTGGACTTTAAACCCTTCCTGACCGATGACGGGATTATTGCGTCTTTCACTTCCTGGTGATTGAATAATCCCGTCATGCGGTACAATGAGACTTGGTCCGTGCATGGACCAGCTCTCATTGAGTTAACGCTGTTGATGGGTCCCTCGGCGTCTGAGGCAGACCCTCAACAGCAATTTAGGTGGTTACAGCACTGTGATTACAGCGATAGGTAATCACTGTGATCACAGTGCTGTGACATCCACTGAGCCGGCTTTCAGCCCACTGTGTTGTGGAGCTGGAAGCCGGCTCAGTGTATTACAAAGTGATACAAAAAATCTCTGAGGGGAATACAGCATCTCCTCAGATTACTTACAGGGCTATTCACAAAAGGGAGAAGAGTTTGGAGAAGGCCGGAGAAGTGAACAATCTAGGAGAACATAGCTGATTTGGAAAAATTCCCCCAATTCAGCTCACTTTCCAGTTCAGCTATGTTGTCCTAGATTGTTCACTTCTCCTGACTTCTCCAAACTCTTCACCCTTTTGTGAATAACCCTGTGTGTATCAAAAGCCCCTGTAAATAAACAATAAACCCTTTGGTGCCCCTAGTTAACCAGTTGACATCCGCGGTGTTAAACCCCCTTCCCATCCAGGCCATTTTTCAGTATTCAGCGCTGCGGTACTTTGACTGACATTTATTCCGTCATGCAGCGCTGTACTGAAATGAATTTTATATCATTTTTTAGGGACAGATAGAGCTTTCTTTTGGTGGTATTTAATCACCACTGGGGTTTTTATTTTTCACTATATTAAGGAAAAATTACCGAAAAAAAACAAAAAACTTTCCCCTATATTGAATGATAAAACATTTATTATTACCCAATTTTTTGGTAAAATATAAAAGACGCGGTCACGTCGGGTAAAAAGACACCAAACATGTCAAGCCTTAAAATTGTGTGCGCGCGCGCGAAACCTCAAAAAAATTATAATACCCAAAATTGGCCATAGGCGACGCTTTAAAAGCTTTTACCGCTCATCAGTTTAGTGTTATCAGTGATTGATGGCCCTAAAATGATTGCTCTCACTGCAACGTTTGCGGCGATATGTAACGTGTGTGGCGCAATTGTCGTTTTTGCGCGGTGGGGCACCGGACGCGTACTTACGTTTATATCTGCGTAAACGTGGGGGTGGGGGAGATGTCAACTGTGGACCCTAAAAGAAGCTGATGAAGCACTATAGAGCCGCCGGTCGTCTATATGTTAAACACCCGGCAACGGGTGTTTGCATTGGTCGGGTCTTTTCTGCCCGTGCGCGCCCGCAGAAAAAAAATGCCATCTGGAGACGGCAACCCTCCAATTTAAGCATGTGTCATATCAAATTAAAGTCCATGTTGTCCTTTAATAAATGGTATATAATATGTGTAGGTCCAATGAAATCCTACAAAAACATTTTCACTAAGGGCTTAAGGTCTACAAAGTTATATTTTAATATAGCCTGTGATGTTCCATTATGCACATTGTAATATGTTTGCTTCTATGTTCTTTACAAATCAATGAATACATGTTACTGAAAAATGCTATTTAATCCAAAAATAATAAATAAAATGTCAGATGTTAATAAAACTTAGTTTAATAATAAAAAAAAAAATTGAATATATTTTTTACTATTGTTAGCATAAATACCTTAATCTATATAATAGCTTCCTATAATTATTAGCACTCACAAATGGGAGAGGTGAGTCAGCACAGTGAACCAATCAGGCTTCTACTGATCTACAAAAGTGTTAGTCAAATGGCCAGACATTAGAGGCATTCAGATGTACATGTGCCTTGTGGTGCACCCTGTAGGAAAAAATGCTGCATGTCCATTTTTGTCTGTTCACCCTAACACAACATATGTTAACGTGTGACATAATGCGCATTGACGTAACGCACAAGAATGGTAAAGTGTAAATGTGCCCTGAATGTCCATGAATATCTATAACATTTAGATCAAAACAACAGCTGTGATGAGATACTTAAAGGAGATATAGTCAAGATGATGTCCAAATCTATAACTGTCTCCAGGTATGATATGTCAGGTACAATCATCTCTCCAACCAATCATTTACCCTTTTGTGAGTCGGATGATATCCCCAGGCTGGATCAAGTTTCCCACATCATCCCAAACAGAGATGTTGATGCTTCCTGTCTTGTCAGCCACTTTGCAAGTTCTCACTTCATGCCCATCCTTTGTCTTGGTGACTCTGCCTGACAATTAAAGTTGTGAATGGTGGTTAAAAGAAAAAAGTAAGTTTTGTACTTAAACGTTTACACAATGATGCACCATTAAGGAAATCACCAACTTCACAAACCTATATTCTAATGAAATACGATTGTAATTCAGCAGAAGTGACTTGAAATGAAAACCCTTTTCTTCTGCTTTAAGTTGAATTAAATTTAAATTAAATGGACTGTTTAAATTAACTCTGTTTATAAAATAGAAAAGAGAAAGGGGGGAGAGAGAGAGAGAAAGAGGGAGGGAGCGAGAGAGGGAGGGAGCGAGAGAGGGAGGGAGCGAGAGAGATTGCTTAGAATTAATACATAACTTAAATAAGTACAGGTATTTAAGTTTAGTCATGAAGCAAACCCATAACCTATAGCAACCAGGTTAAATCTATGTAGTCAGATCAGTGAGATACTGAATTCTGATGGGTTGATGTTTGTTAGTGTGAACTGCTCTTTGCTTTGTTGAATAAGCCCGATGGTGATTCCAATAAGATAAAAGATCTCATATTTTTTTAAACCTTCACGTCCCAAGAAATGCATCTTACATCTATACACTGTGTGCCACATTGAAATATAAAAGTTAAGTAAAAACATAAACATACTGGGGGGAATTTATCAAAAATGGAGCAGATTTGCATTGCAACCAATCAGCTTCTATCTCTCATTTTCACATCTCAACTGAGAAAACTGAAGAGAGATGCTGATTGGTTGTCATTGGCAACTGCTCCAGATTCTGTCTGCTCCAGTTTTGATAAATTCCCCTCACTGTATCACCCCTTACAACTCTTTTATACATTTTGACCCAATGTTATTCATTTATACTGTGAAAGGGTTTCTTCAAACATGAAATACAAGTAGTTCTATTAAAATGTATATTTTTTGCGAAAAAATAACCGTATTAAAAACATTATTCCCTCAGCTTTGTAGGGAATAAGTAAAAATAGCTGGTGTCACACCTATGTGTTGTGGTAACGCAGACGTTTTGCAGTGTGGTGTGTTGCAATGCCATTCACTCAAATGAATGGACTGCAATTAAAGCACAATTCACCGGTACACGTACACGTACACGTACACACACACACACACACACACACGTGAAAGGGACCTACATGTTTAAAGTGTATTTCCACTTTCGCAGCCAAATTGGGATAACACATATTTTATATTTGTTACATGTTCACATTCACAAAGCATAAGTTATATAAAAAATACAAATAAAAATGTTTCTTCCAGTTAAAATTTCTTTTACTTGGGTTACAGTTTTGTGGCTTCTTTGTAATGTTAGGAGGAACTGTAAGGGCTTAAAGGACTACAACCCTGGCTTCTGCATTCAAATGTTAATGAAGTTAATGAGAGAAACACATTCCTCAATTCTCAGTCCTAAGTCTTTCTCTAAGGACAGATCACTGTGAAGGTGCTCAGAAAAACCCTTGATTCAGCCATCTTGTCTGCTGCAACAAAACTTCTAAAAGGTATTTTTTAATATGCTGTGTGAATGAGAACACACAACAAACATATAGAGGGTTTTTTTTTTAAATGTGACTGCAAAAGTGGAAATAAACTTAAATGCTAGGTTTACACCAAATCACTGGGATGTGTTGCGGTAACGCACCTACAATAACATGCACTGCGTTAGGCAGCTCATTAAAAATGAATGGCCTGGCAATGCTGCTTATTGGCCCAGAGAATGGACCCACACATTTTTTGGCAGTGCACTGTAATGCACATTAGAGTGTTGCATTGCAGCACATCTATGTCAGAAAGGTGTGTTGGGGTGCTATTAAGAACGAATGGCACTACATCGCGCCATCGCAAGTAGCGTACAGTGCCATGCATTGCAGTAACGTACATGGGAACACACGTATTACTGCAACGCAATAATATGAATGGGGCCTTACTGATAAGTTAGTGTGGGATTCCCAGTATGTAAACTATTAAATACTCAGCAAGATCAATTCACAAAGCTTTAACACAAGAATAACTATTTTTATTTTCCCCATGTGACTGCAATTACAAATCTCATTGGACTTAACTGAAAATAACTGTCACTTTTAAAAAAAGAAGTATCCTTATCCTGGTGCGTTATCTTAGAGAAGTGAGCCTGATCAATCTCTCTCCTCCAAATCACTAGTTACCAATCCATGTCACTGCCACGTCAGCTGTAAAGATTGGCCTGTTACAAAAAGTGGAAAAGCAACAGATCTACTTGCAGGATAAAACATTGTGAGTAGACAGGCTCTTCCTAGCCAATCAAGATAGCTGAAGATCCCAGACCCGGAAGAAGATGTTTGCTGGTCATGAGAGGTGAGTTTAGTATAATACAAGACGCTCAGAATGCTGTAGTCACTACCCTGCTCATTTCAATTTCAAAGCGGACCTTTAGCCATATCTTTAAAATAATAACAAACACACCTTTAGAAATGTTTAGTAATGACAATCTACAAACACATACTTCTAGATAATTGCAGGCTTTTTATTCTTTGCAGACCTTATTTCTCTTTTCTTCCCCAGTCTTTTGACAATGGCCATGTTTACTAAGGGCAGATTACTAATATTTTACTGTACTTCTATTAATATTAGTAATCTAGTAATATTTTACTGGCACTCCTGCAACCCCCACTGTTGGGCCGGAAAGAGCCCCATCCACAGCGGCCATCCTCCGCCTCTCTCATCCCTGCCACTCAGCTGTCCACAAGGCGATTGACAGCAGAGACCCAGTTACACCTCACCCAGCCAGGGACATCTCTGCTTGCCATTCCGCTTGAAGCCACTGGGTGGCATCATAGGACCACCGTACTCCAACTGCAAGTACTTCCTAAATCAGCTGCTTCATTGAACTGTGTGTAATATATCAGCGGCTCCACTGAACTGTGTATACTTCCTGTCTATATCAGCCGCTTCACTGAACTGTGTATACCTTCCTTATAAATCAGATGATCTGTTTAACAGGGTAGGTCACCGCTACACCCGCAGCTCCATACTCTCCTATACCTGAGCAGTATCTGACCCATTATACTCATGCTGTTGACATTAACTGGGTATGTATACTCTGAAGCTGAGATCCCTACTTACCTACCCCAGACCCAGCCTGGAACGTTACACTAGGACATGTGACCATGCACATCATCTCAGGGGAGGAAAATGCATTTCACTGAGATGAGATTTTCCAGCAATGTTCTGCTGATGACAAGGCAATCCCAGCGTGCATTGCTTTGGCAAGCTGAAGTCATTTTGCCCTTTCAAAGCAGGAAGTGAATGCTCTGCAAGTGTAAGTATTTCAAAATCATAGCATTTTACACCTGACATGTCTATGTTATTATTAACCATCATACATAGAAGGATGCATTGGTAGAATTGGATTTTTGAGTGTAAAGGTCCGTTTTAAGTCTAGGGGATATAACTACTGTGAGCATTGAACAATGTTTTCAGCCATGTGACTGTAATTTTCCAATCCCACTGGACTGCAACTGTCACTTAAAAAAAAGAACCCAATAATGATAGTTATCCTTGTATATTAGCTTTATGAACTGAGCCTATTATACTTTAAGTATACCTTTAAGAGCATAAAAATGAAAACTACTTTGATTTTGTTTAGCTTGGTTGTGACGTACCTGTTTCAAGAACTATAAAAATTACATTCAGATTTTTGAGACCGGGCTTCACATCTTTCACGAAGGTTTCAGTAGTCATAATTGCCCTCCTGTAAAGCTGACGTTTTAATCACTGTAAATTAAAAAAAAATTATTCAACAGTTATTCATACGCTACCTAGAACTATAAGCCAACCAGCACAATGGGAGTGCCCACAATGTCATATTCCATAATACTGTACCTGCGTGTCTGTATGACAGTATCATGAATGACATAACTTTATGTACGTTCATCATTCCCAGTGTAGAATCTAATAAAACTGATGCCGGTTATGGAAGTTTGTGCAGGACTCATTTTGCTCATGCCATTTGTTAGTTCAACACCCTAGAACCTCATTCCAATAAAATATGTTGTTAGTACTAGCACTTAAACACAAACCACACTTCTCAGACAAACTGTCCGTTCTCCAAATTACTACACTTCTCCCCTTATATTTGGATACAAAGATGCCAGAGATTACACATTATAAATAGTAAAGCTGGCCAAACAATGGTGGAATTTCAGCGAAATTCTGGTGACTGCTGACTGTTTCCAACTGATTTGGTCAAAGGAGCTGGCCCCCCTACATCCCAAATTAATCTCCTGACACCTATATTCCGTAGCCGGCAGCTGAATGTAAACAGTAGGCAGTAGGTGGTACAATAGCCAGACTGCTATTGGCTATTTTTAAGTTGCAATAGTAGGCTGGCTATTGTACCACCTACTGCCTGCTGTCAATCAGCAGAGGAGTGGCCCTGAGAGAGAACTTTCTGCCCTGCCCACTTTATCAGGGAGTGGGTTGGGTGCAATAACCAGCCTGCTCTTGCAATTTGAAATAGACAATAGCAGGCTGGTTAACCAATACCGATAATGTAAAAAAGCTGAGTGTAAACAGCAGGCGGTGGATGGGTGCAATAGTCAGCCTGCTCTCAGACTTTTCTAGCATAAGGTGCCCATACACTGTACGATTATCGTACGATAACCGCGGGAAATCCGTTTCTACTGTGCGATCGCATGTCTTCCGTCGACTAAGCAGGCTGGAAAACCCACCGAGAATCGTACGATTCCCGGCAGGTTAGTGGCGTGCTTGTTCGACAACTGCAGAACGGGCCGATGTGCGCAAGCGCACTCTGCCCGTTCAACATTGCAGTCATCAGAAATCCAAGTACGATCTGCCTGTCCAAGATAGGCAGATCGTACGTTTTTTAAATTACTTTACAACCATCGCAAGACAAAAGCCTTGCAAGGGTTGTACAGTGTATGGCCAGCTTTAGACTAACTCCTTCTCTTGACAGTCACAATGTCATTTAAATCAAATGTTGGTGAGATTTGGTCCAATAAAGTCAGACAAGTCTGCTAAAAGTAGCAGCAATAAAAATTATAATGTTATTTAATCATCTGATAATTATAAGCACAATTACAAACCTCCTCTGTCTTAGCAGTTTTTTTACTAAGGAGATTTTTTTACACCCTCAGAAAAACTTTTAAACATATAGGGTTAATTCTATAGTGGATGAGCTGCATCAAAAGCTTTAAAGGCAATTCAACCATTTCCTGATTAGGACTGTACTGCTTGCTGTACAGAGAAAGTGAAGGAGCGCTACCACAATCCCAAATACTCCTCCTGTAAAGCTGGCCATACACCTATCGATTGTCTGCAGATTTTCTATGGTCAGATGGGAAAAGTGCAATAGATGCTTCCATTTACGCTAAACTGTGTGGATGGAAGAATCTCCCGCTGGGCCAAGCTTCAGTATCTTTCTAGTCGGCCCCGCTGGCTCTCAAAATACCTGAACAATATGATTGGATGCAGGCATTGTTCAGGTATTTTGAGTGCCAGCGGGGCCGACTAGCAAGATAACGAAGCTTGGCCCAGCGAGAGATTCCTCCATCCACACAGTTTAGCGTAGACGGAGGAATCTGTTGCACTTTTTCCATCTCACCATAAAAAATCTGCAGATAATCTATAGGTGTATAGCCAGCTTTAGTCTGATGTCAGATCTTCCTTCCTGGAGACTTCACAAGGGTCACTGTCAAGTGCAACCTCTCAAACCCCTAAAACACACTACCATATATGTTCTATTAACATGCAAACAGATTTTTAATGTTTAATTTGCCTCAACAGCCTCCCTAATGGGTCACCCTTCCACCTCAAGGACCCAAAGCAGCCACATGCACTGTAATGGCTATAGTTATGTAAACTCTTTTATTGCTGTCCGGGAATCTAATTTAAAGTCTGCCTTAATTAATATAGTAGTGGAACCTGTTCTGAAGTGTATGCCTTCAGATATAAAGGAAAGTTCACACAAACCAGCCAGTTATGGTTGAACCGAGCAACAATATTATATCTTATGATCCCTCTCAGACATATCCTAGTTGGGTGCTCTCCTTCTATGAAGCAATTAGCCAGAAAGTGTATTTATTCATGAATTCAAGGTGCTTTCTGACTGGATGAAGGGCAGATTGTGATGTCACCGCACCTCAATCCAATTCAATAATGCCTTTTATCCATTGATAAACATACCAGGCGTTTTCTGAATGACATAGACTTATAAAAATAAGCACAAAAATGATGCTTTTGGCTATATCATGACCCAGGAGAGCTTTGGGGGACGACGACAAGATGATAAATGAAAGGTATGCTGTAGCACCTTACAATGTCTTCTACTCAAAACTAGACTAAAGCTCAACATACAGTTGTAATCAAAATTATTAAATCCCCATTGCAAATCAGGTTTATTGGCAAAATATACAGACTTTCAGCTGTTTCCTGCGAACACAAGCAATTGAAATAGGTCAACACAACAAATATTTCAAGTGGTTTCCCCAAATTCTACTTGAAATGCAACTTTTTCAACCCCTTAATGGCAAACATCTTTAGTACTTAGTAAAGCACCATTTTGCTGGTATGACCTGCTGCAAACGAGATGCATAGTCAGGCACCAGCTTCTGGGAGCATGCCTGAGGAATCTTAGCCCATTCCCCATTTCTGTGGGGTTTTAAGTTAGGGTGACTGTGGTGGCCACTGTAGAATCTTCCAGGACTTCTGCAACCAAGTCTTGGTGTAATTTGAGGTTTGCCCAGGATCATTGTCCTGTTGGAAGGTCCAATGATGCCCAAGCTTCAGCTTCCTCACAGATGACATGACATTTTCTCCTCGGATTTCCTGGTACTTGCCTTCCACTCGCTGCAGGTTTCCAGAGGATGCAAAGCAGCCCCAGAGCATCACCAAGCATCATGCTTAACTGTAGGCACAGGGTGGGGTTCTTTTCAGCATATGCTTCTTTCTTCTTCCTCCAGACATACCGCTGATGCATAGAGCCGAAAAGGCCCAGTTTTGTTTCATCACTCCACAGAACAGAGTCCCAAAACTTCTGTGGCTTATTGATAGGATTTTAAAAATATTGGAGCCCACTTTTCTTGCGCTTTTGGGTCAGTAGTGGTGTACGTCTTAGAGTTCTGGCATGGAAACCTTCTGTGCCTTACTGTGCAAATTGAAACCTCACTGCCTGACTGTTCCCACCAAGTCTTTCTGCAGATCTTTTGCAGTCAGTCGAAGGTTTTTCTCAACCTGCCTTCTTATAAAACTCAGATTTGTGCTCTTGTGAGGGATTCTACAGCATTCAAGGGATTGAATCATTTTGAGACTGAAGAAGTCATTAAAAGTTGCATTTTCAGTTGAAGTTGGGGAAACCACTTGAAACATATGTTGTGTTGACCTATTTCAATTGCTTTTGTGTGATTTGTTCATTGCAAACAGCTGAAGGTCTGTACATTTTGCCAACAAACCTGATTTGCAATGGGGTTTGAATAATTTTGATTGCAACTGTACATATCTTACAATCTGATTGTAAATATCCCCTAGATTAGATACGAACTAAAGGATTTTTTATGCAGGCCTCTGCATTGCATGGTGGTTGGCAAATCTAAATAACAAAGATTGTGCAATCAGAATTCTTAGTTTGTATTTCATATAGGCAATACAGATTTCTAAAGCATACCTTCCATAAGGAAATTACAGTTTAACTTTAAAATCTATATTTCTCCATTAGGTATGCAAGTAAGTGAAATGTATTTACTAATTACTGTGCTATGTTGTAAAGTGCCAACCCAAGCCCTACCCACTGCATGCAGCTGAGGTCAACTTGTCAGATGTCAATATGTTAAATCCATTACGAGAAAAATGGGGGCTGCTATTGCTGACCTAAGCAATGCCAATGTTAATTGGCTGACTCTAATGCTAATTCACTAACATCCATACTTTCTATGTTAATGACCTGAAATTAATATGTAGCCTAAGAAAGTCAAAGTTTCCAATCTGCATACATGTTCTGGGTACTGAAAAAGGGACAAAGGCAAATAGCAAGTTTTGTAAGGAGAGATCAGCATTGAGGAGTCTAAGTGTTGCTCCGATGGCAGGCTTCGTTTGCAATATCCTAATATCGCACTAAGTATGTGTGTTGTGATACGATAGTGATACGATAGTGGCAGTTCCCTATTGAATGCAACGTGCTTTATCCATTTGTAGTCATGCTTGTTGGAGGCCTGGAGCCAATGCTGGGGTATGCTTCCTCCTATTTCAGACCTGACCATGACCAACGTAATGGCTAATTGCTCTTCTTTCCACTGACCAACAATGTTAAATGGCATTCTTTGGAAGAATAGTCCCTTATATTGGTGGTTACTGGATGGAAGACTTTATTTCATGGATCAACCATGTAAGGCAGTCTTCCTCTCAATGACCGAAATTAAAAAGTGGTTGAAAAGTAAAACCTAATTTTTTGTGTTTTTGCGGGTTGTTCAAATATGGCAGCTCCAAAATAGCCTCCTACAGAAAAAATGATGGGAGTGTGAAGTCTAGAGCATGTCATTAGCTACTATGCTGTTACTGAATTGATTTTTGATAGCAATGCACTTTTGCTCTTCTTGTATATTCCTACTCTTTCCTCCCTACACAATCACTTGGGCTCAAGCAGGGCTGTAGCTACCATGGGGCGAGTGAGGCATTTGCCTCAGGCGCAGCTGATAGGGGGCGTAGCTAGGGCCGGCCTGGCTGGCCCCCTTACCCCTGTTGCCATGGCGAGCACAGGGTGCCATTGGCAACAGTGGCGCCAGGCTTTACTTCTTGCACACATCATCGAGTGCTGGTGACTTCTATTATAGGCGGCCAACACAGCCGCGGCTCGGCCGGGAGACCTCAGTGTCATTACACGTGAAGTTCGGAAAAGTACATGAGCTTCTTTTGGTGCAGATTCTGGCTTTTTGGCCTTATAGACTTTAATGGGAGTGCCTGAAAAAATGCTCGAAAAAGCGTGTTCATGTGCATTTTACAGCCGCTACCATTTAAAAGCCTCTCAGGCCAAAAACACAGAATTCTACTCCTTTACTAAAAGTTGCGCATACAAATGCTTGAAAAACACATAAACAAACATGCAAAAGAAAATCTCCCCGCCTACTTAAATGAATTTTTAAGATTTAACTCCTGAGTTTAGTGTCACTTTAATTGAAGTGGTATTCTTGGTTTCATACTTGCATACGAATTTATGTGTCACCTGCTCTGTAAGTAAAACCTATTTTCAGGGGTGGGAAGCCGTAAAATCAAGCATTGAAACCAATATGGTCACTACTTTTAGGGCTCGTTCACACCAACCCCATTGGACTACACTGGGCAGTGATACCCAACCCAGTCTCCACGCGTGTTAAAGTCCATGGGAGACGTGTAAAGGTTTTTAACTTACCTCGTCCCCATTCCCCCCAGCTGTCAGAGCTCGCCTTGTCTCCCCTCTGTCTCAGCTTGTGGACTGTACCTCAGCATCTCAATATATAAAACAGGGATATGGGTCCTGCATTATACAGCCATGGCCTAAAATATTGGCACCTCTGCATTTCTGTCAGATAATGCACCACTTTGCACAGAAAATTGTTGCAATTACAAATGTTTAGGCATTCTCATGTTTATTTCTTTTGTTTGTATTGGTATGACACAAAAAAGAGTGGAGAAAAAAAAGCCAAATCTGACACATTCCACGCAATAAAACAGAGTGGGGAAGAGGCTGCGGGTACTAGTATTGGAGCCTACAGGAGTGGGGATCAGGTAAGTAAAAGTCCTTTACACCACCCCCCTGGACATTAACCAGCAGTTAACCCTTGCAGTGCAGGGTATCCCAACACATGCCCACTGGTGTGAATAGGCCATGACCAACCACATGCAACCACCATTTTCTATCCACCCCTTGTAGGGTCTATCAGGTTATCAGCATGATTGTGACCGAGTCCTGATGCAGCTTATAATCACCATGCACTTCCGTAGCTAACTTCTTGGTTCTCAACTGGTGGGTCGTGACCCAAAAGTGGGACGCGACCCCGTGTTTAGCGGGTCACCGAATGCCTTCCACTTTTCTAGGTGTGAGGCTCCTCAGCCTCCCCCTAGCACAGCACTGTCCATTCTTACACCAAGCAGCCATTTAAAATATGCTGCCCGGTGCAGAGTGTCATCTTGAGGTGGGGTGGGATGGGGGTATGGCCGCGAAGGAGCTCCCTCCATACATGCATTACTTACAGCTCCCTCGCAAGTGTCCTGTTGAGGTGCCTGGACCGGGGTAACATCACATTCTGGCTCCCGGCACCTCTACAGGCGCACATGTAAGCCGGCAATGCACGTATGGATGCAGCTCCATCACAGCACAGCAGCCCACACTGCCGTGCGTTCCATTGCAGTGCGGCTTGGGTCGTAACTTAAAGGAGAACTATGAGGTGTGTGCTTTTCACTCACCTCATAGTTCATCTCCTTTAATGACCGAGGACAAATGTGGGTCCTGAGGTTACACAGGTTGAGAACCAGTGCTCTATATCCCTATATATGCTCTATATGTGTGCATTATTTTTCACCTCAAAGCCCAATAAGAACTATGGGCAGTAACTGTCCATTGATTTCTGAAGCAGCATAATCTCCTCATGAGAAGTCCTAAAACAACCCCCAAACACCTACATATGCCCAAAATGGCGGCTACATTTACTGAATGCCGTAATTACTGGCTGTATAAGAGGGTCGTGACGTCAGCAAACATTGACTAGCAACTACCTCCTGATTGGACGCCCATTAGTGTTGCGTCATCAGCTCAGGAATGAGTTAAAGGACAACATCATATTGGTCCAAAACATCCCCCAGCCCTGCTCCCTAACCCTATAACCTAACTTAAAGTAAAAAACCCCCACCCAGGTGTTCATTTACCTCTCCGTGACTGCAGCGGCCTCCTCCGCCGCTAACATCCTCGGTGCAGAAATCTCCGCCGCCATCCGCGCCTGCGCAGTAACTCCCCATGGAATTGAATGGGGCTGTACTCCAAGGAGGGGGCAGCCAGCGGCGGAGATTTCTGCACCGAGGATGTAAACACCCGAGGAAGACGACACGGAAATGTAGGTAAATACCTGCCTGTGGGGGGGGGGTTCTGCCTTAAATTAGGATAGGGAGGGGGGTTTGTTGAAGTGAACTTGTACTTTAAAGGTTCTCCCTATCCCCAGGAAACATCCAGCCTTAATCTCCCGCCCCTTGTCAATCCCCTCCCCCTCTTCTGTCATTGGCCATTGAGGGAAGAGGCCACGCGCTCTTTGGACAGCTTGCTTCCAGGATTGGTTTAGACGGCGAGTCAATCAGGGAATGGAGGGCGTGGCTTGGCGATGGGTTGCGTAGCAGCAGAGCTGTGAGACCGGTGGTGGCGTCAGCTCCTGTCAGGGGGGGAAGGAGAGACGGAGCGTCCGGGGTCCGTAGCCTCCCTGCCCCGGGAGAGGCCGCGTCCACTCCACTGGGGTCGGGGTTGGGCACGGTAAGTACTTTGTGGTGTCTTTTCCCCTCGCGGTGCAGTGTGTGAAGAGGAGGCCGCTGGAGTGGGGAAGGCTGCAGGCAGGTCTGGAGAAGTCTGAGCTGATATTGTACATACTGGCCATCTGGTGATGTGTGGGCACGTCGGGGTCTGTACGGAGGGCACGTGAGCGCCTAGTGCCGGTACTAAGACGCAGCTGTTGCTTGGATATGTCTGTGTTCGTTGTTTTGTTGGCTGTGCAGATCTTCTATCCGTGCTTGTATGGAATGAATTACACAGGATCACCAGAAATCCTGGTAGCCATGGACGATCTTCATCATCATTATCATCCTATATCTGAAGTCGAGCTGAGATATTTGATGTGTTTTTGAAGTCCACAACTATCTGTAATCCTTCTGACATGAACTGTCCTGCTATAGAATATATTCCTTTTCATTTGTACAATCACTGGAATGAGATCTGAAAAGGTCTGCAAGTCAATGTCAGGTTTTGTGTTTTAAATCTCGTCCGGAGGAACAAAACGACACGCTGGAAGTTCACAAGTCTCCATTCTTATTTGTGTCTGATATGTTACCAAGGCCTGCCCATGGGGGGTTTCATCTTCTATTACAGTGCCTGTGTAATGAACATGTGTCTATTCACAATGTAAAACCCTACTCCAGGCAGGAAACCAATACCTTTCCAGTCCTCCCCTAACCCACATCCCAAACTGGCAGGGCGATACACTGCTGCTGTCAGAATACCGAACAGTGTCTGCTCCTGTCGCTGTTCATCTGGCGAACTTCAAACCGCCTCCTTTTGAAGAAATGTTGTTCGAAAATTTACAGTTATTCAAAAAAGGGTGAAGGGTTTGGGGAAGGCAGGAGACGTGAACAGTCTAGGCCAAAATAGCTGATTTGGAAAAATTTTCAATTTCCGCTCACTTTGTAGGTCACCTATGTTGTCCTAGATTGTTCACTTCTCCTGCCTTCTCCAAACTCTTCACCCTTTTGTGAATAACCCTGTTAGTTTTGTTGAATGGAAGGGAGTTGATCGAACCACACACTGTTCTGCAGGACCCAGCCAAACTTCGAGCAGTGTATGGCCACGGTCACTTCAGGAGGCTTCCTCCACACTGGGGGACAAGGCCCTCGCAGCGTCTTATCTAAGATGGTGGTAACCTCAGGACTCAGGACAAATCCTTGGTTATTAAGTCGGGTCCCAGGTCGCACTGCACTGGAACGCACGGCATTATGGTACCGCGCATTGTGATGCGTGAGGAGCGTTTGGGCTGCCATTTGAATGAACACGTGGTAGGGTTCGTTGATCACATGGGACTGTGTGATTAATGCACTGTACTAGTGTGAATAGGTCCTCAAAGACACTGACTGCTTCACATACACCAAAAAGTGTTTTTAATATTTTTATTTTACTTTTTCAGATCCACCCAGTCTCCCTACGTTACGAGAACTGGAAGCTGGAGTGGATCCACAGCCTGGGGTCCAGTGTGGGCTGCTGCGCTGTGACGGAGCTCCATCCATATTTGTATTGCTTGTACAGCTCCCTTGCACATGCTACAGAGGTTCTGGGAGCCAGAATGTGACATCACAACGGTCCAGGCTCCTGTGCAGGGCACGTAAAGGAGCTGTAAGCCATGCATGCATGTATGGATGGAGCTCCCTCACGGCCATACCCTCAGTCCACCCTGCCTCAAACTGATACTCGGCACCGGGCAGTGTGTTTGTAATGGCTGCTCGGCGCGAGAACGGACAATGTTGTGCTATGGGGAGGCTGAGGAGCCTCTCACCCAGCGCAGTGGAAAGCACGTGGTCACCCACCAGTTGAGACCCACGGGTCTAAGATGTACAATGCAGGACTATTAGTAAGGATGCCCAGGGCCTGTCCAGAACCTCAGACAGGGGGAGTGATGAATAAGGTAAGTACTACAGCCTTTTCCTTTACCCCTATTAATTATTACTGGGATTTATATAATATTGACAATTTTACGCAGCGCTCTACATAGTTGCACATTCACATAAGTCACCTAGACTTGGCGGCACAGTGGATTGATGGTTAGCACTCCTACCATGCATCACTGGTGTCCTTACTACAAATCCCAACCAGGATACTATCTGCATGGAGTGTGTGGGTTTCCTCCCATACTCTAAAGACATGCTGATAGGTTAATTGGCTCCTGTTTAAATTGACTCTAGAATGTATGCATGTAAGGTATGGACCTTGGATTGTAAGCTGGTGATGTGCATGTACAATATGGGAAGCAATACTTAAATTCTCAGCGCTATAAAAATAGCTGTAATAAGTAAATAATTTAACCATAGCCATGTGGGGGTCGCCACTGCAAGGGTTTTTTTGTTGTTGTTTTTTTTTTTTTTTGCTCCAGAGTTTTAGCTGTTATAGTCTTGTTATTGCAAGGTCTATTATGAAGATGACTTGGGGACTGGGTCACCTTACCATGGCGTTACTGCTTGAAAGAAAGAAATTAAAACCCCACATTTATAGAGCAAATCTTTTCAGTGCTTTAGAGTCCTGAAGCAAGCAAATCCTCATTCATTGCATTGAAAAGTGCTGGGGGAGCCCAGTCACATGACCAGTCCGTCACGTGACCTGCCTCTTCTGTTACAAAATGGTCTCTGCAACGCTATGCAGAGAACACTCCATGGGGCACTGCAGGCTCCACATTGTGGCCTATACATTATTAATCATTTGTAAAATACAGACAATGGGGAATGCATAGTGCAGTGTCTGCTCTCCAATCTCTAGATGGACCCCTTTTAGTTTTCTTTTACAAAGAGTATATTAGAGAAGTATCATACAGTAAAGCCAACATAGTAGCATTATTTAAAATGTATTTACAACGTTCTGACATAGTTGAACCTGGATATAGGAACAGAGCATACGTTTTCTAGGTGTAGAAGGTCTGGTGATTTGTTGACTGAAGTCTTGCTGCGTACCACAAAATTAGCTCAGGTAGTTGACGCCGCTGAAAGGTCTATTTAGAAAAAATTGGCTTGTTAATATATTGCTTTCTTTGCACACAGTCAGTAGGAAAAGATCACATAGGCTCCAGATGTTTTTTCTTTTTTCCTGCAGAAAGCCATTTAAGCAAAAAATAATTGAGTGACGCGGGAATGTTTTTTATTTGATCCTGTGGCATTGCTGTGCCTATGCTGTGATATGCTTTGTGACCATGTCAGCAAAGTAATTGTCTCATATTCTTTTAATACTCTGCAGTGTTCCATGGTTTTCCTGGAAGGTTTCTCTGGAACCTGTAATCTACCATTGTAGAAATCATTGGCTGTTATTTCTGCAATGCTTAGTATAGCTGTTGCTGTGTAGTAGTGCTCAGATGCCCTTCTCTAGTGAGGAGCGTTAGCACTGGTAGTTTAGAATAACAGTTCATTTCATTGCAGTTCATACAAGCCACTCAGTTACCTGAATGTTAATCAGTAATAAAATGAAAATATCTCCTTTCTTGATGAGCATATTTATTGCAGAATCCTGTAATAGGAGAAATCCATGAGCTGCCATTGGTCTGCCTTTGTAAATATTAATGGCCTAGCTGTCATTGCTGATCTTGGCTTCATTGCTTTCTTAGTTACTCATCCATAACAAGTATGTAGGGCAGAAGTTTAGACTCACAGCTCAACTTCAGTCAGCTGATAAAAATCACATTGTGGTAACTCCCCCACATTGCATATAGTAATGGTCCATTGCTGGTTTAGTATAAGGATGTAACACCGGAATAATTACCCTACTACCCCTGGCACTCTTGTCAGCTCCCACTCCAGCCTCGGAATGTGGGTGGGCCATTAACATGCTCATTTACAATGAAGGGGAAGTTTTAATAAATTCACCTATTAGTATGGAATTGGGATGCACCGATACCAGTATTTCGGTATGTATATATATAATTATTTTTTTTACACTCGCCGATACCGTCCCTTAAGTCCCTTTTTAAGGAAGCCAGGTGGCGTGTAATGACTCGCCACATGGCTTCCTGATAAGCCGGGCGGCGTGTAAAGACTTGCCACCCGGCTTCCCGATTAGTAGGGAAGCCGTCCCCATGCTTCTCATTACTAGGTGACGAGAAAGCATGGAGCTGGCTTTCTGTCAAATCAAGAAGCCGACTCCATGCTCCCTCGTCACCTCATGAGTTGACGAGGGAGCATGAAGCTGGCTTCTCGGCCAATCAGAAAGCCGGGCAGCGTGTAATGACTCGTTGCCCGGCTTTCCGATACAGGAAGGATCGGGCTAGGCATCGGAGCATTTGGGCAACTACGGGTACTCACCCAAATACTCGGCACCAATACAGATACTGGTATCGGTGCATTCCTATTATCTAATAAGGCTAACAAAATGTTAAGACTTTCTCTGACTAATATGGGCAAAATGACATGTTCCCTTTGCAGAACAACCCCCATCCATCTTATCTGAGCTTTTCTGCCAGAGCCAGGAGTCCAAACCTGTTGTTAGCTCTATGTCACATGGTGTTGAAGTTTACACGGTTAACTTGTCCTCATGTGACAGTATTCAGGATTGCTGGTTGTCTGCTCAGGCCCAAACTCTGCATTCTGGGTCAAGGTCACACTATCCGCCGTACATATCTACCGTTTTAACTAAATGGCAGGGGAGAGTCATGAGTTAAATCTTAAAAATACATTCAAGTATCTTAAAATAGAACTATGGGGTAACCTTTTTATCCCATAGTTCTCTTAAGGGTCACGGGAGGACATATACTAACCTCCTCCGGTGACCCAAAGCTCCGTACATAGCGGGCTATTGCCCACGATACACTGAGAGCGCCGCAGCCGGGATGGATCCCGACAATGCTGTTGAGATCCACCCAGCTGCGTGAGTGAAAGCGGGCTCTGCCTATCTAGAGGATCTAAGGGCCCTTCTGCTGCATTTAAAACAGTAAATTTTTGCTTTTGGTGTATATTGGCAAAATTGCTATTAACCCCTTGCAGTGGGGCTCCCTCGCACTGCAAAGGTTAACTGCTCGT